AAATCTTAAAAAAATAAAAATAAAAAAAAAAAACATTTATAATCCTTAGAACAAATCCAAGACGATGACCCTATTACCACTATTTAGAGACAAAGAAATTGAGGTTCGGAGAGGTTGCATAACTTACATAGGTTGTTCTTTCTTACTATGTGATTGCTGTTAGAATATTCCTCCCTCAGATCCTAAACTGTACGGCTGGTGGGTGGGTATAGTTTGTAACCAGATATTTATAGTATTTATCCAAATTCCTTTGCTGGATTGAGGAGAGATCTATTGCTGCTTGGCGAGAGGACCGTTTATTCTGTCTATAGTTCTTCCATTACCAAAACAGTACATGAAAAACTACAACCTCAATGGCTTCGTGTCCCAGAATACAATAAAATCATTTCCTGTCCATATTACTAAGAGTTGTTTTCTCTGAGTAGGTGTAGAAAATCACTGTTGATGTTAGGGATACATCAGAGGCTGGTGACCTTCCCGAGCTGCATTAGAGAGCAGCTTCTTCACAGTGGCAAAGAGGCTTTCCTCCTGGTCAGCTAAATACAGGTGTCTTTGCAAGAGTGTAATAGAGTGGGTATCAGTGAAAATCTACTGCCTTCCTATTTGGCCCCACATTTGTTCTTTGTGGTTCTATTTTTTTGATTAGTGGAAATTCCTTTTGGGATATGCGGGTTCACAAGTATTCCCTATTTCCTGTGCTGTTACAACATGGCAGATTTGTCTTGTGTTTCATCAACATTTCAATGGGAAGGCTGGAGGGGAGGGGGGGAGGGAGATGGGGTAACTGGGTGACGGGCATTAAGGAGGGCATGTGATGTAATGAGCACCAGGTGTTATATACAACTGATGAATCACTGAACTCTACCTTGAAACTAATAATATACTATATGTCAATTAACTGAATTTAAATTTTAAAAAATAATTTGAAAACAAAACAAAAAAAATCAGTGATCCATTAAACTCTTGAACGCAAAAAAAAAAAAAAAACAACAACACATTTCAATGGGAAGATAAGGTCAAATAAATTAGTTGCTAGTTTATCATTATCTTAAGAAGAACCTTCCAAAGCCATTAGACATTTCTTTCTGCTCTTAAAGAGCATGAACTATCTTATTGTGAGGGGTAGGGGCATTAAGAGATAGGTGACGGGTGTCCTGGAATACCTGCTAATAGTTTACCAATATATTTTCTTAAGATGTCTTATGAAGTTAATGAGTGCCGAAAAATTGAGACCCTTGAAAATTTGGACCTGGATTTTGAGGGTGACGTCACAGAACTTGAAACTTTTGGAGTAAACACCACCAAACCATCGAAGTCACCGAGTCCTGCAAGCACTTCCACAGTACCCAACACAACAGATATTCCCACAGCTCCCAGCACAGCAGCCACATCTGTGGTACCAACCGCACCAGACATTTCTGCTCATTCTAGAAGTTTATCTCAGATTCTGATGGAACAGTTGCAGAAGGAGAAACAACTGGTGACTGGTATGGATGGTGGCCCTGAAGAGTGCAAAAATAAAGATGATCAGGGATTTGTACCATGTGATGAAAAGGCATCAAATTCTGACAAGTTTTTGATGCAGGATAATGACTTGAAAACATCTGATTCCTTACAGTTAGAAAGTTCTACAGAAATTGAAACCTCTCATAAAAATGATTTGGCTACTGATACGGTATATGCCCCTGAAAAACTAAATGTTCTGGAGAACTCAGACAATTCAAAGGAAAAGACTGTTACCTCAGAAGCAGTAAGAAGTGAAGATGTAATTCTTTGCAATAGTGATACAGATGAAGACTGTTTAATCATTGATACAGAGTGTCAAAATAATAGTAATGGAAAGACAACTGATATGAATTCTAATTTAAGTTCTAAACCAGCTAGCCCCAATTCTTCTTCAGCACAGGCTTCTGTAGGAAACCAGACTAATGCTACCTGTAGTCCTGAAGAATCATGTGTTTTAAAAAAACCTATCAAACGAGTATATAAAAAATTTGATCCAGTTGGAGAAATTTTAAAAATGCAGGATGAACTCCTAAAGCCAATTTCCAGAAAAATACCTGAATTGCCCTTAATGAATTTGGAAAATTCTAAACAACCTCCTGCTTCTGAGCAATCCTCTGCTCCTTCAGATGCCTCTGGTTGGCCAAAATCTGTATGGCCTTCTGCGTTTCAGAAGCCAAAAGGACGTAAGTAAATATTTATAAGGACCTTTATATTAACTGTTTTGCCTCTTCGTTATCCTTAGGTTTTTCTCCTTTATTCCCTCACTTTTTCTTTGTTCTGACCTGTCTTACAATATTTACATGGTCATTGATACTTCATTTTTCAATGTACTGATCAGTATATCAGCTTCCAAAATCTTCTCTTTAAATATGTACACAAAGTTGTATGGATCTTTGTAACCTATGTTTATCTAGCATGTACAGTGGCTAGTACGGCTCACAGAACTGATGAAGGGGAAGTGATCAAAAATAATCATAAACATTTATGAGTCCAAAATTTACTAATTCATGGTGTTGGACTGTAGTTTTATACTTTTTCACTTTCTGAGATAGATATAAAGCTGTACCCCAGCTCTGCCTAGATTAGAAAAAACATCACTTTTTTAAAACTTTTTTTCTTCTTCATATGTTGTCTCATAAATTTAAACTTTGTCTAGGGTTAGTGAAGGTGGAAGTTAAAGGTTTAACCTTAGCTCTTGGCTGCAGTTCTGTTAAAAGTAAACAGAAATGGTAATAGATGTTCAACTCAGAGAAAATAGAAAAAGTTGATAGAAACGTAAAAATAGATAATTGAATTGTTTTCTTGAATTATGATCAATAAAGAGCTAATGTATTTTTAAATAATAATGAGAAATAAAATTATTTTTAAAGGATTGCCGTATGAACTACAGGACTATGTTGAAGATACATCAGAATATGTAGCTCCTCAGGAAGGAAATTTTGTTTACAAGTTATTTAGCCTACAAGACCTATTGTTACTTGTGCGATGCAGTGTCCAGAGGATAGAGACCAGACCACGTTCTAAAAAACGGAAGAAAATCAGAAGAGTAAGTTGTTACTTGGGGAGTTAGGATGTGGTAGTATAAGTAGATAATTAGCAGATATTTAACATGCCATTGTTATGAAGTTTAATTTAAAATTGTTGATCACTGGGCGCCTGGGTGGCTCAGTTGGTTAAGCTACTGCCTTCGGCTCAGGTCATGATCACAGGGTCCTGGGATCGAGTCCCACATCGGGCTCCCGGCTCAGCGGGAAGCCTGCTTCTCCCTCTCCCGCTCCCCCTGCTTGTGTTCCTGCTCTCGCTGTCTCTGTCTCTGTCAAATAAATAAATAAAATCTTTAAAAAAATAAATAAATAAATAAATAAATAAAATTGTTGATCACTATTGGAATTTTTCCAGGTTGAGCTGGGGCTTTTTATTTGTTTTTTGTGTTTTTTTTTAGTAAAATACTGAAAACACTTTTAATAAAGGGAAGTGGAAAGTGTTATATATAAAATTCTTGAATGCTGGTAACATTCTTACATGGAATTTATAAACTTAATGAAAAATGGCACCATCATAGATTTGACCTGGACTGGCACATATATTCCTACTTTCTGTAAATTTGGAATTCCACTGTGACATATTAGCCCCTTTTTCTCTTACTTTGGGGATCTTCTTGACTCATTTTAGAAGTCCCAAGTTTTCAAAGGTGGGCTTTCACATGCATTTGAAGTCTTCCCAGAATTGTTAGAAGACCAAATGTTTTCTTTTTCCCCTGTTGTTTTTTTTGGGGGGATTGATATAAAAAATATTTTTCAGTTAAAAAGTTCTTGCTACAGTTTGAGTAATTGGTTCTTTATACAGTTTTCCATATTTGATGTTTGAAGTTCTCATTCAGATTAGTTTGATTTTTGTGTGTGACCACTGAATTCTGGTAAATAAAGAGGAGCCTCTATATTATAATTGATTATACTGATGTCTTTCTTTTCATTTTTACTTAAGAGAATTTTTTCTGTGGTGTACATTTGTCACAGTATGTGTGTGTGTTTATATTTATATTTTTATATTATTATTTTTTTAATTTTGGTGTCTCTATCTCTTGCTCTCTAACTTACTACCTGTAAGAATCCTCAATGACTACTTTAGAATGTTAGTATGTTCACTGCTTTGTCATGTTAAGGAATAACTTGGAAAAGAAAGAAAAGAAGGAGGGAAGGAAAGGAGGCAGGGCGGGCTGTCCAACCTTCCTCAGTGGCTAGTAGCAGGGTCTATCATGAAAAAAACTAAAGCTAACCCATCAGGATCTAGGATCTTTGTTCATCAGAATCCAGTGGACCTGGAGGATCTTTTGCTTGATGTCGTTATCCTTTGTCAAATAGAAGGAAGATTGTAAATACATTTTTAAATTCTTAGTTCTCATAATTTGGTTTTTATCTGTGATTCAAACTTTAAATTTTAGAAACCAAATGGTTTTGAATTAAATGTATGGGGTAGTGTTTTTTATAAGAGAAAGTCAAGGAATAATAAAATGCCAAAGATTTTGTATTAGTCTGCTCCTATCCTAAATAAATGCTAATATTGTCTGAATTAAAAGATTTTACTTTATTTGCTAATTTTTCCCATCTCATTTATATTTAATGATGATCAATTTAATGGCCATTGCATGAACATCTTGAATATATGTAGTGTCCGTGCTATGTATTGTATATTCAGTGTTTTATTTCTTTAACTTTTACTTGCTATATCTCTGATTTATTTGGGGGCTAACCTCATTTCTTTCACTTTCTACCCTTTGAACCCATACCACTTTGTATTGATCTGCCAGCTCACAGCAGTTAGAAACTATTGATGGCCAGTATCTCTTAAGAAAGAATAGCTTAGGGAAATAATCAGATACTGAATTAATTCTTGAAACAGACAACCTGTTAAGGACATTGTCATTCAGTTCACTAAAGTGCAATTTGTAAATGTTGAGATGAAACCTTATAGGAGAGAATTCGCTCTTCATCAAAATATATCAAAATAGCTGAACCCCAAAGAATATCTAAATAGGAGCCTTATGTTTTTTATTATGTCAAACCCAGAGTAAAATTTTAAAATTTTTAATGAATGGTTATCATATTGTACCTTTTATTACATGTAATAGTTTAGTACACTTTGTTTAAATCCTTTAGTAGAATGCATTTCCTTTGGAATTATGTCCTATTTATCTGTTTCTCCCAAATGTTTTATATTCTAGGAACAAAATGAACAGGTAATAAGTAAATGAGAGGAACTGGTATTAGGAAGGGAACTTTAGGATAATTTAAGTATTAGTTTGAGAAATTTTAAAGTAGCACTATTTAAACTCTGGGTAAGAAAGCATTCTCTTAATATTTACTACTTAAAAACCAACTTGTTTAGATAAAGCTTTAAAATACTTAGAAGTCTCTTCACTATACTATGATACTAGCTATGAAATATCTATCTAGGGATGTATGGAAAAGTTTAAAAGGTTTATGTGAAAAATTGGAAGACAGAACCAAGAAGAGCTTTCAGTTAGGGAGAATAGGAGTTACCATTCAAGGGAGAAAGGAATAGTAAACTTAATTTTTATAGTTTGAAACTGTGATTGAATTTAAAATTTCACTTTAATTTTAGAATACTACCATAAAATATTCAGACTTTTCTTTCCCTTGGCTTCCTGGAGGTGGCAGTAGAATACATACAGAAATGAAAACCAGATTCAGGACTTAGTTTCATAGATATAAGGCAGTATTATCAAGGAAGATCTACTTATGATCCAGAAAGGATATCTTGTTTATCAGTTATTCAACTGTGCTGTAAACTGGCTCTGTCCCTGAGCAAATTTCTTAACCCTCTTGACCTCCATTTCTTTATCTCTAGCTTATAGTTGTTAAGTGCAGATTACCAATTGCTGAAGAATTATTACATAATAAAATGCCTTTACCAGTAAAATTATCTTAATCACAATTTAATTTTTTTTAATTGAGAAGACACCATTAGAGGCCTTGTACTCCAGGTTTGGCCCCTGGAACAACAGCTTCTCAAATATGCAAAACCTACTGTATAGAATTGTTGAATTATTGTATTGTACTCTTGAAACTAATATAAAGGGGCATCTGGGTGGCTCAGTCGTTAAGCATCTGCCTTCGGCTCAGGTCCTGATCCCAGGGTCCTGGAATCGGGCCCCACATCGGGCTCCCTGCTCCGCAGGAAGCCTGCTTCTCCCTCTTCCACTCCCCCTGCTTGTGTTCCCTCTCTCGCTGTGTCTCTCTCTGTCAAATAAATAATAAAATCTTAAAACAAAAAAAAAAAACAACAGAAAAAACCCATATAAAACTGTAGGTTAATTATACTTCAATTTAAAAAAAAAAAGCAAAACCTTGTTCTTCGCCTCAGATTCTGCATTTTAACAAAGTTATTCACCAGGTTTTTCATATGCACATTGAAATTGAAGAAATACTGCTTTAAAAGAGTTTTACACCATTCACAGGTAACCATATGAACCAAGTTTATGGTTAACAGAAATTTTACTGGATTTGGATTGTTCTTACCACCATCATTGTTCCAAGCCCACTAAATTTGCCACTTGATGAAAATCAGGAATTCTGAAACATTTATGAAATATTTTCAAGTATATGAATAGTGGCAACTTCATATAATTTCAGAAGTACAAACTAGCTATATCACTTTGAATAAATTTCTTAAATCATGTATTTCTCCTTCTGCAGCTGGAAATGAAGAGACTACTATTAAGAGTAGAATATTCTTTGACAGAAATGAGATAACATGAGCACAGTGAACATGACTAACATTATTTCACAAGCATGTATTTCCTTGCATATACCCCTTTACACTAGTAATGGCCACAGTTACTTTACTTTATTTAGTGTCCTGACCAATAAACTCTGATTGGCTACTTGACTAGTGTTTAGAGCAAAGCCTTTGTATTAATCAAGATAAAGACACTCACAGGTGTTAATGTAGATATTAATGCTTATACCTTCATTCTTAGAATGAAAAAAAGCTGTTCAGAGTATTTGAGCCTGATACCATGTGTCTCATGCTTTAAAAGTACAAAAAATTCTTACCTTTTTTTATCCTCTGCGAATTACTAGTATAACAGTCTTTGCTTTCTAGCATCCCCCTTTGAACCTTTGGGCAATTATGTATCATAGGCTCTGTTCCAAGGATGCTACTGTCAGTTACATTCCCTGATAAAATGTGTGCATATGTAGGGAGGTATGTGAATTTTGGGTGGAGGTGGGGGAGAGCTGTTGGTTCAGGATCTCTTACCTGTCTACCTCTTGCCCACATCTAACAAGGGTTCTTTCCATCTTTCTGTCTGAATTCTGCTGTATTTGAAAGGATAAAATAAGATTACCTGATAGTATTTCAAAGTGGCAAAACTATAGGCAAATGTATTTTCTGTTAAGAGTAAATTAATGGAGCTTTGAAAAAGTATAACTGTGCATTTCAGCAATTTCCAGTTTATGTACTACCAAAAGTGGAATATCAAGCTTGTTATGGAGTTGAAGCTCTGACTGAAAGTGAACTTTGTCGCTTATGGACTGAAAGTTTATTGCATTCCAACTGCTCATTTTATGTTGGTAAGTTATACAAGAGGATTTGCTCTCCTTTTTAATGCCATTGTAAATACATACTTTTAATCAATTGTAAATACTTCCATTCTGTACTTTCTGCAGTTCTCTTATTGTGTTAACATTCCTATTAAAACATCATTCCTACTGCAGAGTTAAATGGTGGGGTGAAACTAGTGAGATCAGATGTTTTCATTTCCCTCTTATTGTTTAGTTGTGCTTGATGTCAACATAATTGTTTTATTTTTGAAATACTTATTTTATTTTACAGTGTAATAAGCTAAAACTATAGAAGGGTTTTCTAAGGAGCTTCTTTTAAACTATTGGTGTGAACATACTGAAATTTTCTTAAAATTTTAGTGACATTTAAAATTTTTCAATTTTTCTTACTTTGTTTCAGTTTTCTGTTTTTTTGGGGGGGGTTACGGATTTGATTTGTCTTGGGTTCATGTACAGTTAAATACTTCATATGAAGGATTACTTGCCAGTTGTTATGATATTGCTCTCTCCCAATGGAATGCCTCATCCCATACTTTTTAATTCATCCCATATGTCTCAGTCTATCTGCACTATCTCAAGTTGCCCTTCCATGAAGTCACTTTCTTCCTTTGGTCTTTCAATACAGGGTCTTTTTTTTTTTTTTTTTAAGATTTATTTATTTTAGAGAGATCACACACTAGCACATGCATGTGCGGGGGAGGGGCAGTTGGAGAAAGGGAGAGAAAGCGACTACCCCGAGTGCAGAGCCTGGAGCATCACGAAGCTTAATCCCAGGAACCTGAGGTTGTGATCTGAGCTGAAACCAAGAGTCAGATGCCCAAACGACTGAGCCACCCAGGTGCCCCTGCACAGTTTTGTTTTTTTTTTTACCACTCTTATAACTTGTTACTTTCTACTGTAATGTTCTTTTTTATACCTATCCGATCTTCCCATTAGACAGTAAGTAGTTTAAGGTCAGTGTCCAATGAAACTGTATTTTTATAGCAGTCAGCATAATTCCTGGTGTGAAGCAGCTGTTAAGAGTATGTTTTTCTTAATCAAAAAGAGGTTATTCACTTGAAAATTTTTTTTCCATATTTTGGTTCACCAATATTTTGTCTTTATTGTAGAAGAGTATTAATAAGATAATTGATTTGCTCTCTGTGCTTAACTCAAAAAGAAAGTGGTTTTTGTACTTGGTTGTGCACTAGCCCCCTCCTCCTGTTTCATACTGAATGCTGGAACTTTTTTGTTGTAGTTTTTGGCCACTAACCGCAATTGCAGTGTTCCTCCAAAAGGAGGAACATACCAACAGTCTTCACGTAAGCTACTCTGAAGCAGTTGCTAGCCACATCCATTTTAGGAAAGGACGAAACAAAAGCTTATCACTTAAATCCTTTTTAAAGTACTGGAAGAGAATAGACTCAGGACTAAAACAATACGAAGTGGTTTGTTTGTTTTTTTTAATGTACACTTTAACAGATAAAACTGCCATCATCTATATGGCTTACTTCATCTATTCTTTGAAGTCCTAAGTAATTATTGCTCTGTGTGCTCTTTATCCTCAGTAAATCCTACCCACTTAGAAGCCATTCATTTTAATGTAATAGGATAGTGTATTTGGTTTCTTTTACAGTTGTTTGATGAGAAACTTACTTTGTATGGTTGTGTTTTCTTTGGGTTTGGGAATGGGTTTGGTTTTTTATGTGGGGGTGAATATGTTTTAAAATGCACCTGTCTGGCTCAGTTTAGAGCATGCAACTCTTGATTTCAGAATTGTGAGTTCAAGCCCCACATTGGGTGTAGAGATTATTTAAAAGTTAAAAAAATCTAAAAAAAATAAATTATCTATGGGTTAGAGATACTTCCCAGCTTCCCCTCCTTCCAACCAACTTCCCCTCCTCCCAGCCTCGCAAGGTACAACTTATAGAATATTGTTGGGTATTTTTTTTTCTCCTTTTGATTCGTTATGTATTTACCACTCACAAATCAAGTTATACGATGCGCTTGAAATGCTCCAAAATTATCCTTAGAAACTATTAAATATATGTGTATATGTATGTATATGTGTGGGTGTGGGTGTGTATAAAATAATAGAACAGTATTTTTTTTTTTTTTTTTTGAGCGAGGGGGAGAGAGCACACAAGGGGAGGGGCAGAGGGAAGAGAGAGAACCTTAAGCAGGCTCCACTGGGTGTGGGGCCTGACACAGGGCTCGATCTCACTACCTTGAGATCATGACCTGAGCTGAAATTAAGAGTCAGACATTTAACCAAATAAGGCACTTAGGTGCCCCATAGAACAATATTTCTAAGCACGTAATGTGGGACAATGACAATATATCCATTGTTGCTAATCTTCACTATTCTGTAAAACAGGTGATGTTTATCTTTGTTATATAGAGGAAGAAGCTAAGGTTTTCTAAGTTTAATGCTCAAAAGTATCCATATCTTTTCTGATTCCACATCCTGTGCTTTTTCTATTATAATGGAATAGTGGAAATCATGCTGAATGTGGAAGTCAGAAGATATATGTATGATTACTATACATTTTATAATTCTCTTACCTTGCTTGGGTAGAATCATTTAACTCCCTAGGCTTGAGCTTTTTGACCTATACATAATGAATATAATAATATTTTGTTCAACCTGCTTCAAGGATTGTATATACAGATCTTTTAAAATTATAATTATTACCTAATATATTGCCCCCAAAGTAGACTTCTTCTTGATGAAAATAGATACCACAGGACAATGAAGTAATATTTTATATATTTTTGTACTGAGGAAAAAGCTATTAACCTAGAATTAGGTGAAAATATGAAAAATCATCTTTATGATAAAGAGTTAAAGGATTTCTTTTTTTTAATTTTATTTATTTATTTATTTGAAAGAGAGAGAGAGCATGAGTGGGGGGAAGAGCAGAGGAAGAGGGAGAAGCAGACTCCCTGCTGAGCAGGGAGCCCAACCAGGGGCTCAATTCCAGAATCCCGAGATCATGACCTGAGCGGAAGGGAGACACTTAACTAACTGAACCACCCAGGCAGCCCCTATCCATTTAACTTTAGGAACCTGTTTAGGTTGTTTCCATTGTAATGCAACTGTGAAAATTCTTGTAAATGCCTATTAGTACGCTGCATACATATTGCTATTTGGGCATATACTGAGGGGTGGAATTATTGGGTCATATTTTAGGTATACACTCAAATTTAGTAGATAATTTCAGAAAGTTTTCCAAAGCTATTGAACCAATTCACATTTATAATAGAAATATGTGATAGTTTCAGTTTCTTCACATCCTTACCCACACTTGGCCTTATCAGTTTACTTAATTTTAGCCATGCTGGTGGGTAGGTATAATGAATATTTCATTATTGTTTTACTTTGCCTTTCTTTGGTGGTTATGAAATTGGGCACCCTTTCATGTGATTAATCATTTGGATATTCAATTTTGTGAATTGCCTATTTAACTCTTGCTCATTTTTCTATTGTCAGGAGTTTTTTGTGTGTTTTTGGTTTTTTAAGTAGGCTCCATACCTGGCATGGAGCCCAACATGAACTCACAACCCTGAGATCAAGACCTGAGCTGGGATGGAGAGTAGAATGCTTAACTGACTGAGCCACCCAGGCGCCCCCTTTTGTCAGGTTTTTGTTTGGTCCTTCCTTGTTGGTTTTAAGTTTTACAAATATTTTTCTCCCACTGTGTAACTTACCTTCTCAGTCTCTTAATGGTATCTTTTGAACTTACCAGTTTACCAGTCATTTCCTTTCTGATTCATGCTTTTTTTGTCCTATTTTAAACCGCCCCCCCCTCCCCGGCAAGATCATGAAGATACTCTCCTATATTATCTTCTAGAATCTTTATTTTTTTCTAGCCCTTATTTTTAGATACACAGATTATGTGGTATTTAATTTTACATGGAATATCAAGATTTTATTTTCAATAGTGGGCACTGTTAATTGAAAAGACCATCCTTTCTCTGCTGCTCTTCAATGCTACTTGTGTTATAAATCATATATGTGACTCTAATTCTAGACTCCCTATGTATCCTTGAGGCAGTATCTGTTTTAATTACTCTGAAGTAATTACTTAATTTTTCTAGGTAATCTAGCTAGACAGTAAACACTGTAAATTATAAAATATTCTACTCTTTTGTAAAGTGAACCTTGTCAACTTTTCTTCAGGAGTTTCTTGGCTATTCTTGGCCATTTGTGGTTACAAATTTTGGAATCAGCTTGTCAGTTTCTATCAACAACAACAAGAAGATTGGGATTTTTGTTAGCAAGTGCACTGACTCGGTGTGGAGCAAATTGATAGCTTCACAATAACGTCTTCTAATTTGTGAACTTTACATATTCCTTTATATCTTTAATTTCTCTTAGTATTTTATGGTTTTCTATGTAGAGATCTTGTACACTTTGTTAAATGTATTTTTAAGCTATTATAAATGGTATTTCTGACATTTTATTTTCTTAAGGTTTGTTACTAAAATATAAAATTTATTTACACATTGATTTTGTATATTGATCTATCTAGCAACTTTGCTAAAGTCACTTACTTATTCTAATAATTTAGGTTTTTTAAGTAACCAATCATGTCTTCTGCAAATAATGGCCATTTTATTTCTTCTTTCCAATCTTTATAACTTTTTTTTCCTTGACTTCATTGCCTAGCACTTGAATACAAGGTGAATAATGGGCCTTTGCCTTATTTCTAATCTTAAAAGGGAACGTTTTCAGCAATTCACCATTGTGTTTGGTATTTTGTATAGGTTTTTGTAGATACTTTTAATTAGAATAAAGAAGTTCCTTTTTATGCCTAATTTAAGAATTTTAATCATGAATGGGCAAAAAAACTTATCAGATATTTTCTTTGCTTTTACTTATATGATGGTATGACTTCTCTTCTTCTGCTAATGTGATGACTCCTGTTGATTCATTTAAAAATGTTAATCCAACCTTGTGTTCCTGCAGTAAACCCAGCTTGATCATAATATATTGCTCTTTTTATATATTGGTAGATTTAGTTTAA